GCTTCCATTTTCTTCTTTATTTTGAACTTCTCTTCTTGACTCTTGAATTCTCTACCAACTTCTTTTCTTCTCTAGAATTCACCATTTTTAAACTCAAATTGAGTTTGTTCTTCTAACACGAAGAAATGAAATTTCTCGCTCCTCTCCTCAACAAATTCAAGTCCACCATAGGCAAAAAGGCCTACATTGTCGTCTCTGGAGGACAATTTTTCTCCTATGAAGATGCTGTAGCAGTTTTAAATTGGCCTAAGGTGGTTTGCAAAGAGAGGCGGTTTAAGATTTTCGATTTAGGTATTGGGGGGGCTTTGTCAGGAATGTCGAATTCTCAAGTGTCGGTTGTACAAGGAGTTTATGCAAGTGTAAACGGATTGATGAGAACTCACAGCCCTAGTGTTGTGTTTGCGGTGTCTAATATAGATTCTGATGTGATGAAAGCTTTGGAGATGGTCTCAGAGAGTAGTGAAAATGGTTCGACATTGGTTCTGTTGCCGAGGGCATTTGTGTCAAAGGTGCTTTGGATGGCTAATCTCTGGTCTACAGTGCTACCAAATAAGAACAATCAGCTCAATTTTTTCATATCTGCCATAGCTAAAAATTGACACTAGGACTGGATACTGAAATCAGCATTCAAGTTAAAAATGTGAACTTGAATTCATGTAAGTTACACAAAAAAAAAAAATTAGCAGCTTAGGAACCAAGCTATTTTAGTAATTTTTTGACTTTCTACGAAAAAATGTGTAGAAAAGTAGAGAGCGTAATGTGACAACTTATAGTGACTTTTTAACTAAAACTGAAAGTTGCCAAACGAGGCTTTAGTACTAGTTTTGAGTTTTGAATTTTGAGTTATGAATTGGCCAAAGTTATTAACCAAAGGACTCTGTTGGAACATTTTTTTATGAATGGAAACCCATTAACTAATCTCACAAAAATAAATAAATACAATAGAAGTCCATTCTATGAAGCATGATATAGACACGGAACATGACAATTTAAAAAAAAAAAATCAAGATAACACAGAGGGAATACGACAAGAATTTATATATATATATATATATATGATTTATTATCTATATGAATATTACATTCATAAGCAACCAAAACTAATGAAAATTATCTTTAATTTAATATTAAAAAATATATTAAATTGAAATCATTTAAAGACTAGATATTTTGTTGTGTTAGGGCTCCAAGGATTGTTCAATTTCACAACCGTGGCTAGATCTATGTTGTACTATCGAAGGTTAGGTTTGATATGAGTTTTATAAATTTTTTACATTCAACCCTAATATTTTCAAATATTATAACATGACACCTGAAGTTAGTTTTAAAATGTTAAAATATGTTTATGTCGTGTCTCATCGTGTTCAATAAAAATTAAAATTATCTAAAAAAATGACACAACACATGGCGTGCCAAACATGTCACCACATGTCCTTACCGTACTATGTCCTATGCAAGTCCGACATAACTACGACATCTATTTTGAAGTTTTAGTGATTCATATTTTTTTCCTCTCCCAAGTCGTACAATTTCCTAAATAATCAATTTGTTGTGTGCAGACTGGAACAAAATGAAGATTTCTATCAACACTATCACTCAAAACCGTGCTCATTCATTGACAAGGCTTCTAAACTCTCTAAACAACTCCTACTATCTTGGAGATGAAATCTCCATCACCGTCAACATGGATAGCAAAGTAGATGAACCAACCATAAAACTAGTAAACTCATTCAAATGGCCCCATGGTACCAAAACTCTAATGCTGTGTTTGGTTGAGAAATTTGGAAAGGGATTTGAAAAGGAAAAGGGAAAAAGTGTGCGAAACTAGATGAAATGTAAGTATATTTTATTCATATTTCACCTAACTTTTCTCTTTTCCTTATCCCCTAACAAAACACAGCATAAGGAGAAGAATCTTCCAAGGCGGTCTCATCCGCACCATCAGCGAAAGCGAGTGCCCCGCCTCTAATGACGACTGTGGTCTCTTACTTGAAGATGACATCGAAGTCTCCCCTTACTATTATTTATGGATCAAATATGCCCTATTGAAATAAGAAGCACCCGTTTCTGACCTTTCATCGATCTCTCTTTACATGCCACGTTTGGTTGAAGTTATCAAAGAAAGTCCTAAATGGAATGCAATCGAGTTTTTCAAGCACATCCACCCAAACACGCCTTATCTCCACCAATTACCGTGCAGTTGGGCCGCCCTTTTTTTTCCCAAAGCAATGGGGAGAGTTTTATGTCTATATGAACATGAGGTTCATCCATGATGCAAAAAAGAAAAAGAAAAAAAAACGGGTTCAAATCCCAAAGTCTAGGACTAATGGGTGGCAAGCTTCATGGAAAAAGCTTTTGATTGATATGATGTATTTGAGATGGTATTTGAGTTTGTACCCAAATTTTCCTGGTCAGGTTGGCTTTTCAGCTAACCATATGGAGCCCGGGGCTCATATTGCAGCAAAAGACAATGTTGTGAAGCATGACAAGAGCGACTTTGAGGTTCCATTTATGAGGGAAGATTTTAGGAGATTTTTGCCCAGTGAGAAGTTGCCTCCGGCTTCAAAATTGCCATTGTTGAACCTATTTAATCAAGGGGTTTCTTTGAAGGAGCTTAAGGCTGCTGGAGCAAAGTTAAAGCAGTATATGCTTGAATGCGATTCGTCAGAGAGTTATGGTTGATCATTAGACAGGTTTGCCGTCGCGTTGCGAGAGATTTTGATGATCACCAAAGTAAACAATCTTGCCTCACCCACAAACAGACTTTCCAGTCACCAAAAAAAAAAAACAACACTTTTAATTGTGGGATAATTTTGGACCATAACCCGTAGTTTATATTTTCCATAATAAATTCTTCTTCTCAATTTCATCAATCACCAAATCTTCATCAACGGAACCAGAAATCTCTGTTTGTTTCTTGCCCCCACCAAATAAAGCTTATCAAGAACTCATTACAAAAAATTAAAATTTTAGAAGTCAAAATTTAAAGACAAAATTATTTTTTAGACACTAAATATTTTTGTTGTGAACAGTATTATTATATTTTTAACAACAAAAATTGAACATTGGTGATGAATCATTATCCTTTTGAGACCAAATTTTTTGCCTCAAAAAATAAACCATTTTGAAACTAAATTGTTTTGTCCCTAAAAGTCTATTTATTAGTAATATTTTTAAAATTTTGTCGTTAAAAACTTTATTTTTGATTTTTTGAGACGACATTTTAGCAACTATCCTCGTGACGATGGAAATTAATCCCTTAATATTTTTTGTAACAAAATTTTTATTTTTAGAGATCAAAATATTTGATTTCTAAAATTCTTATATGTTATAGTGACTAAAACCAAAACCCAAATCAATTAGAGCATCTTCAATGCACTAGGCATATAATACTTGTTAGTTAAAATACCTAGTATGATTCACTTTTTTCAATTCCAATGCACTAGGCATATGATTAGGCATTTTGGCTCAACTCATTTTCACTAGCTACATGTAGCTAGCCTTCAACGCTAGGCAAAATGTATTCAATCATTAGGATCATTTCCCTCCATCTTTGTTGTTAACGTGGAATTTTATAAAATTAATAGTATTTGGATAAATAGCTAAAATAAAGAGTATGGTTGGAGTAAAAACATAAAACAGTTGATAGGCAAAATAAAATATATACTTTATAATAATATTCAGATAGGTAAAATGCCTACTATCGTTGAAGATGCTCTTAGGGCATAGAAAATTAAGGCATGCAATAAACCAAATCCTAAAACCCAATTACACAAATTTGGGCAAAGATTCTTCCATTGAAAATGCACTAAAGGAGGAGAGAGAGAGAGAGACTCTGTTGTCCAGTGGCTACTGCCTAGTCGCTGCTCACCTTCGCTGATAGAAATCGATTTTTTTTTTTTTAATTTTCACCCAACATTTTATATAATTTAAAATTGAGTCCTGAATTTTTATTTTTTATGTTTTTAGTAAATTACCAATACACTTGAAGTTTAGGGATTGTTTGGGATGATTTAAATTATTTGACTTTTTAAGAAAAAAAATAGAGAGTGATACAATCTAAAAAATAATAATTTAAAAGTGTGCTAATATCCAACATGCCAAACAAGCTCTTAGTTAAATACGAATTGTCTCCTTTAATTTTAGAAATTACGTGCCTTTTAAATTTCGAATCGCATATCAAATTATCACTTTTATTAACAAATCATTAAGTTAATTAATAATTTTTAATGATGTCAGAAATAAATTCTAATTAACTCTGATAATTTTATTGTTGAATAAAAAAGTAGTTAGGAATTTTACTTTTTTTGTTAGTTTTGTTAAATAAAAAATTTTGACAATGAATATTTGTAATTTTCAAAATAATAAGGAGCAATTCTTATTTTAAATAAATTTTATGGAGTGTATTTATAATTTATATTTTTTTATGTTACAAATATGATAAATATTCCATCAAGGTTGCAAATTATAATTTGCTTATAATATGTGTCCTTTTTTAAAATATATATATATATATATATACATATTCACCACAAAACATTTTTTTTTTTATTATTCTCAAATTACTTGCAAATTCAAAATCCAACATGGCGTAAAAAGTAAAAAATAAAAAATAAAAAACACGGCATAAAATTGTGCTATAGGCTAATGTAACCTAAGGTAATTTGTGTTAGGATGCTTGGAGAAAATAGAAGTAAAGAGATCTCTCATTGCTTGGATAGTTTCAAAAAAAAAAAAAATCATTTAAGCCTTCAGGAATGATAAAAATGATTAGCAATAGAGATCCTATAAACCTTAAAATTGTTTTATCACAAGTGGAGAAATTTGGTGATATATTAAAATTACATTTTACAATTATAAAAAATTATAATAATTAAATTATTCTTCTAAATGCAAAATAAGTAAAATAAAATGACACATATGTCCTTTTTATTTATTACTCATCAAAGCAAGATAGTGAAAAATCACAAATTTTTTATCCTCACTTAGTTGAGAAACTACAAAAACAAAAGTTCCTTTCTCACCCCACCATTCAAACAGAAGCTAAAATTGAGGTTGGTGATGAAAATCTGCCAACTGCAGTAATACCTAAATTACTCATTTAAACATAAAATAAAAAAAATAAAATGACACACATATTCTTTTTCATTTATTATTGGGAGAATTACATGTAGGTAAGAGAATGAAAAAATAATCAATACATGAGGAGGTGGAAGTGACACTTGCACCCTCCACAGTATTTCATTTACACTCCATCACAGACATGCTTGCACCCCCTCATGCATTGGTAATTTTTTTTTCTTTCTCTACTTACAAGTAGTTCCTCCTTTATTATTTATCCAAACAAAATGACAAGAAATTACAATGTTTTTTCCTCACTAAACTATAATAATTTCTTTTTCTTTCTGACCTCGCTATCTAAAATTGAGGATGGTGGTGAGAGCCTGACAACTGTTGATGATGATCCAAGTGAAGTTGTTCTTCTTCTTGTTGTTGTTGATGATTATGATTTGCATTCATCATCATCCATGGAGGTTGTTGTTGTTGATATTGGTTTTGTTGGTTTACAAGTTGTTGGTGATTATTCATTTGTTGTTGAGCACAACAAATGGCTATTTGGCATTGAATCTTTGCTATTTCATACTGAGTTTGAATTATTTGTTGCTGCAATTCAAAAATTGTTTTTGTGCATCCGTAAATTGGGTCTTGAATTCTTGAACTTGCTTCCATTACCATGCAATCTGCAGCTTCTGCTCGCGATTGGATTGGAAGTTGCTGTTTTCAAAAATCAAAAAGTGAAATAAATAAATTTTATATATATAACTCGAAGAATACAATATTCGTTGAATGAATCATAGTCACAAACTAATTCTCACTTGCTAAATGTGCCGCTAATTGTCAGAAAATAATTCAGTTAATTGATTTTATTTTTGTAAGGTTTAGGGTTTGTTTGGTTTAGTTTTTAAAAAATTATTCTCTATTTTTTTTTATCTTTACTAAACTTAATTGTTAGATGCATCTAATTTAAATGTATCTAATATATATATACTAAAAGTAAAAATAATAATAATTTTAAAAAGTAGCATTTTTTTTTCTTTTTTCTTTTTGTATTCAATGAATTTTTTTAAGGTTTTTTTTTATTTACTAATAAATCTCATCTCACAAACAAGTACTCCAATTAGTCCTAAGCATTTTCTATTAATCTATTAAGTCCTATTAGTAAAGAGTTTCTTTTCATGCGGTCCCATTTTTTATTTTAATAGTATTTTGGTGGACATTTATACACTTTTATTAATGTGATAGGCATGATATAACACTTTAATGTGGCATTCCAACGTTGTGAGTATGATATGACACTCTGAGAAAATTAAAAATTTCTTATTATATTTTTCCCAAAAATAACATGTGACATTTTAACGTGGCAACTAAAAATTTCTTACTGTACTTTTCTCAAATGTGACAACGTGGTAGCTATGGTGTGATATTCCAAAAAAATAATAATTTCTTACTTTTTCCAAATGTAACGTGTGGCAATCCAACGTGATAAGTATCAGATGACATTAAAGAATTTCTTAATGTACTTTTTCTAAATGTGGCACTTCAATATGGCAGGTAAATGAGTCATTGCACATCCAAAAGAACTAAATGGATCATAAAAAAAAAATAAAGGACTATATAGATCACATGTTCAAAATATGAGACTTATTAGTTAATCTCTTTTTTTATATATATATTTTACATTTTAAGTTAATAAAAAGATAAAAAAAAACATTAAATAAAATATGAAAAAGATTCAAAAAAAATAAAAAGTACAAAAAAACATAAAATCACAAAATGAAATTCAATAGACAATGGTCTTATTTCGTGCAATTTATAGCAAAAGTTAAAAAAATTCCTTCTTTAACTTTTAAATAATTAATATTTTTATTTATTTAAATTATTTTTATTAATAAATTATAAACAAAAACTATATCAAATAATTTGACACAAATTTCAAAATTAAATAAATTATAATCAACTTTAACAAAGTTGTCGTTTGTCAATAAAACTATTTTAATAATTTTTTGACCATTCTAGTTTGAGATTAAAAAATTTGTTTGCGTTAGCTTTTTTTATTTTTGTAAGAGAGAAAGTAAAATGATCTATGGCTTCGTTTGGGAAGCCATGGTTTGGGTTTTTTTTGGCTATTTTAGCCACAAAAAACAAAATAGACTATTTTAGCCATAACAAACAAAACATCACATCCAACCCATAATCATTACATTCTTTTCTCACAAAAAAACTCAAAAAAGTCAAAAAGCCAAAAAGCCCTTCCCAAACCAAGCTTTTAAGCCCAGGCTAAAATAGCCAAAAAAGCCAAAAAGTCAAAAAGCCAACCCACTTCCCAAACGGAAGCTATAATTTAAATGTTATATTTTATCTTATTAATTTTTTTAATTTATTTTATCTTTTAATGACTAATTTATCCTCAACTTTTTTGCTAAACAAAGCCAAGAGAGAGAATGGTATTGTGTGGGTCTCGTTAACTTGTAAAAAAAAAATTAGTGTGGTTCGAAATTATGTTTTTTTTAAAACAATAATGTGATTATCAATTATGTTTTTAACTTAACACATAATACTATTTGAACTACAATTTTTTTTTTTTTTCGAAGTGTTTACATTCAAATAAAAACCGCAATTTGTAATACCATTTGGGGTTAATTTTTTTAATGGCTTTTTTGTTAAGTTTTTTATTTTTATTTTTAATACTCTTTTTTTTTAATGACATTTTTTTCATTTTTAATACTTCTTTTTTTCTTTTTCTTTTTTTTTTTGACCTTTTAGATTCGTCTATACAAAGTAGGTCTAAAAAGTAAACAAAAATTAGAGGAGGAGGAGAAAGGGAAGGGCCGGACTGGAGGGGGCCATAACCAGTTGGGGAGGAGGAGGAGGCGGAGGCGGAGGCGGGGCCGGAGGCGGAGGCGATGGCGGTGCAGCTGCTGCGACGAGCTGGATCGGGCGACGATCGGACGGCTGCGACGGCCGGCGGCGAGGCGACGAGCTGCGATGGCGAGCTCGCAGCCTCCTCCCTCCTCCTTCCTCCCTCTTCTCCCTCTCCCCTCCCCTCTGGTTTCTGTTCGAAGAGAGAGAGAGCAAGAACGAAGAAGAAGAAAAGAAAAAAAAAAAACAAAAAACCCCCAAAACGACGTCGTTTTGGGGGGCTGCCGGGTAGGGCGGCCGAGGATCCGGATTCCTTTTTCATGACTTGTGCACTGAAAATGGACTAACCTCTCACGGTATTGTATGGGTCTCATTAACCTGTAATTTTTTTTTTTAGTGTGGTTAAAAATTATGTTTTTTTTTAAACAATAATGTGATTATTAATTATGTTTTTAACTTAATGCATAACACTATTTGAACTACAATTTTTTATTTTTTTATTTTTGAAGTGTTTACATTCAAATAAAAACCGTAATTTGTAATAACATTTGGGGTTAATTTTTTTAATGACTTTTTTGTTGAGTTTTTTTTTTTCATTTTTAATACTCTTTTTTTTTTTTTTTAACCTTTTAGATTCGTCTATACAAGGTAGGTCTAAAAAGTAAACAAAAATTAGACATATAATTTAAATAAAAAAAAACTAAAAAATAAAATAAAATATAACTTTTTAACTATATGCCAAACTTATTATATATCTATTCATATACAAATTATAATATGTGATTGTTATTGGAATTTATCAAAGGATGAAATTGACATTTTGAGTTGTTTTTGGAAGATAGTTAAAAATTAACTTTTTAACTTTTTTTTTAGCTTTTTTTTTTTAAAAAAAAAAAAGCATAAAAAAATATGAGAGATAATGTGACCTAAAATAAATTAAAAGCTAAAAGATAGCTTTTAACTATCTTTTCAAAATAGCCCTTTATTATTTATTTTGGATGACGTTAAAAGCTGAAAGATAACTTTTAACTATCTTTTCAAAATGAGCAATGGTAGAGGGCCACAAAAAGTGTGGCTCAAATGGCTCAAAACTGCCAAAACGACGTCGTTTTGGGCGTAAAACGACGCAAAACGACGTCATTCCGACAGTTTTGAGCCATTTAAGCCACACTTTTTGTGGACCTCAAACATTTTTCTTTCAAAATAACCCTTTATTATTTATTTTGGATGACGTTAAATGAACGTCACTTACACACAATCATGCATATGGCTCTAAAAAACAATCACTCGGTTTGGTTTTCATTTTCAGAATTCACTTTTTAAAAAAGTTTACTATTTTGTTTTCTATATTTTTTTTTATTTTCACTGAATTTTTTAATATTTTAAGTAATTTTTTAAAATTTTTAGACACACCTAACATAAATACACTTAAAAAATATAATATTTGTGAAAAAAAAATTAAATTCACTAAATACCAAAAATACAAAAAAAAATTACAAAAATTCAATATATTTTTTGTATTTTTGTGTATTTATAAACTTTTTACAATATTTTTTTATAAATATGTTACTATTTAGATACATCAAGGTGCATATAAAAAAGTAAAAAAATTACTTAAAATTTTAAAAATATTCACTAAAAACAAACAAAAAAATGAAAAATAAACAACTCAATTTCTAAAATATTGAATTCAAAAAATTGAAACCAAACACACTGAATAAAATTTGCTAATCATTTTTATATTATCTTATAATATGTGATTGTTATTATTGAGATTTATCAAATGGTGAAATAGACCTTTGTTATTTTTGTTTTTTGTTTTTTGGATTGGGTGAAATGGACGTTATTTACACAAACAATCATGTATATAGCTCTGAAAAACAATAAAAGCATACTAATCATTTATATATTATCTTGTGAAGTCATTTAGTATTATTTCATCTAAAAAAGTCAATTGAGTATTAAAAAGAATAGCCAATTTGATAATTCCCTTGGCTGTAATAAAAAAGGATAAAAAATTTCTAACATTCTTCAAAGAAACTCAAGGTGAATATTAATTATGATTAACAATGCTATATACACATAATTTATACATTAAAAAAATACTTAAGACATAAGTGATTTAGATTTTTTTTATGATGTGATGTAATGTAATGTGAATTTCACCATATCTCAATCTACTTATCAACTTTGTGAATATTTTTATGGTACATAAATTATGCCTACATATGTTTACTGATTATGATTCACTTATGCTGTGTTTGGTTGGAGGATTTGTAAAGGGATTTGGAAAAGAAAAGGGAAAAGGTGTGTGAAACTAGGTGAAATGTAAGTATATTTTATTCACATTTCACCTTCCATTTCTATTTCCCTTTCCAAATCCTTTTCTAAGTCTTCCAACCAAACACAGCATAAATAAATGTGTTATTTTAACTTAAGTGGAAAAATAAAAACATATCTAGAAATTTTAAAAATGGCTAAGAAAATCACAAATAATATCATGATTTGTTTGTTACCTCTAACATCATAGTAACATTGCTTGTTCCGAAAATCTTATGAACACAGGAAAATCTCTCTGCATTATTAGCTGGGAAATACAGTGCCAAAACGCAATCTTGAGAGCATCTTCTCCTTAGAGATTTGCAAGCTGCACACCTGGTCGAATTAGACATTGCCTGGATTTGCTAGAATCTATGAAAGATTTTCTCCAAAATCTTTAAAATCAAATTTATATACTAAATGATTTTGTTAAGATTGCTATGATTTTGAATGTCAGAGTGATCTTTATATGAGATTTGCATAGAATTGAAAGAGTTCTAATTTTGGAAGGTGATAACGGCTTGGAAGGTGATAACGGCTAGATTTTTAAAAAAATTGGTTGAGCAAAAGGAATGAATTTAGAAGAGTGGAAGCATAATAATGTTCCCTTGATTAAACAATTTAGGTCAATACTCATCTTTTTCTTTTATTTTTTCTTTTCATTTTTAATTGCCACCCACGGAAACATTAAATAAAATATTTCTCAAGTAAGCAATTTTTTCCCAAAAAATAAAATTTAAATTGTTTTCTTGATGTTCCTTTCTAGACTAGGATCCTTCTTGCGTGAATATTCCTTTTATACATATTTTAAGATCTACTTTATACTCCAATCTATTGTCGGATGTGCAATACATTAAGTCTTGTGACTTCTCATAAAAAAAAAATCTAATTCATGTAGTATTAATCCAAACTTCAATAAGAAAACCTGGAAAGTTTAGTTTAGATCAATAATTTATAGTAAAAATCACAAACCTTAATATTTTATAAAAATATACAAACACTCCTTAACATTTTCAATGTATTATAGAAATCCCCTTGATATTTGAAAATTGTATCTGTGGGGATATATTTTCTGAGTACCAACACGTGGCAAGGTGACGCCGACGTGTCAGTCGAGGTGCCACGTGTCTTGATCGTTATGCCGAGATCATCTCGGCTAGGCCGAGGTTGCCTCCGAAGATATCGAAATCCGAGATAAGCGGATAAGGGACAAGAGTCCTAGAATGAAGAGAGAACTCAGCTTGGATATGGACAAGAGTCCTAGATTGGGAGAAGACTTCAGTTTGGGTAAAGATAAGACTCTTAGAGAGTTTATCCTAATCCCACTGGGAGTCCCAGATTAGCAGTAATCCTAAGTCCATTAGGGCTAGACTCCTTTTGGGACTAGGATTGTATTGGCTATAAAAGAGAGGCACCCCCATGGGTATAAGGTATGCTTTTGATACTCAAGCTTGTGAGTTTAGTACTTGATTTATCTTTGAGAGATATACTGACTTGATCGTCGGAGTGCCCCCGAGTGGTCGAAACCACCGCGGGATTCTTATATTTCTGTTGCAGGTCAGTCAGGTGCCATCTATTCTGCCGGTGCTCTCCAGTTGATTATTAGGCAGGCAGTGTGGTCAGAAAATTACCCACACAATTTGGCGCCGTCTGTGGGAACGAAAGGAGAATAGATGGCCAACGACAGACCGAAAGAGAAGGTTAGGGACGACACCCCTACTGAGAGTGGGAAACATATTGACCTTGGCGTCGAAGAAGACAACTACAACGGAGAAACTCGTGATAAGAATCACGGAGAAGAGGACGTCGGCCAAGAGGGCGACGTGCCGAAGAAATCAGACTAAAGCGAGTATTATAACAAGGATGACCTCCAGGTATGGAAGGATAGATACCTGCGGAGGAACGAAGACCCTTCCAGAAGGGATGCAAAAACAGGGGGCACGAGCACTCCCAAGGAGATAACATTCAACTGTAGAAGAACTCATCCTAAGTGAGCAGATCCCAGATTCCAGATCCTGGATCCCGGATCCGAGAAGACATGATCTCAGCCTAGACAAGTAGGCCCGAGAAGACGAGAGCTTAACCTAAGTGAGCAGATCCCAGATCCTAGAAGACATGATCTCGGCCTAGATGAATAGGTCCGAGAAAAGAAGAGCTCAACCTGAGTGAGCAGATCCAAGATTCCAGAAGATAAGATCTCGGCACCTAAGTCCGAGAAGAGAAGAGCACAATGAGCAGATCTCAGATCCCAGAAGATAAAAATGAAACACACAAGATCAGACTAAAGTTAGCCAGAATTAAGAAGTATGCTAGGGCCGAGGAGGACATGCCAAGAACAAAGGCATCGGAACAAGAAAAGAGAAGCGGCTCGTCGATGCGAGGCCAAAAATCAAACTGAGGTTAGAGCCAAATAGAGAAAACAATGCCGACAACCTCGGCGACAAGGTCGAAGCTACATGTATGATGAGAACCCAAGTGGATTTTAAGTTCACACTGGGGGCGTAGAGAAGAAGAATGCGTTTACCACTTGTTGAAATTTGTAGCAATTTACAAATTGGTTAAACCAATATGATGTTTAACCGAAATTAAACCGAGATGATGCTTAATTAAAGTTAAGCCGAGATGGTTCCTTATCTTCACTTGTTGAAATTTGTAGCAATTTACAAGTTGAAGTTAAGCCAAGATTACTGTTTCTCTTCGCTTGTTTAAATTCGTAGCAATTTACGAGTTGAAGCAAAGCCGAGGTTATTGCTAAACACTTGTAGCAATCTACAGGTTGGTTAAACCAAAGAAGATGCTTAACACTTGTTGAAATTTGTAGCAATTTACAAGATAACGTTAAGCCGACATATGACCATCTGTTGAAATTTGCAGCAATTTACAGGTTGAGGAAAAAGTTAAGTATGTTGTTTAAACACTTGTTGAAATTCGTAGCAATTTACAAATAGATTATTGTTTAACACTTGTTGAAACTTGAGAAAAAATTTGCAAGTTAACATTAAGTTAGTATATGTTTTCCCACTTGTTAGAATTTATGAAAAGTTGCAGGTTCAGTATCTTGCCCGAATAAAGTTTTGTAGCATTATACCGAGGTATGTAGACCCGTGAGAAAGATTGCACAAAGAAGGCAAAGTATGGAAGGCATACAAAATATTCTAAGTATAGAATCATGCAAGAGCAGTTAGAGAAGATCAAAACAGAATTCGTCCGTGATGGCAGCCTTCACCTTACAACATCATCTGGGAAAGTCATGGTTGCATGCAATGGGGGCAGTTCCTAAACGTTGCATCAACTATTGCGGTTCCCCACAGAACATGGGATTGAAGAAGTCAGAGGAGACCAACTGCAAGCAAAGAATTGCTCCATGGGCAGCAATGAAAAACTACCTGCAACATTCGGGAACCAGGGAAGGCAGAGATTGAAGACGAGGACATGGAGGTCCTAGATGATGTCGGCAAAGAGCCAGCCAAAAAGAGGTGAAGAGACACTGAAGAAAATTCCTCATCCAGAGAGGCGACGAAGAGTGCTTCTTTCTTCTCGGCTCAGGCTTAGCGAAAAGAAGAAAAAAGAATTGAAAACAAAACTACTCGGCATCAATGGCAGGATATAGAAGACAGTTGGGAAGACTTCTCAGCAGCCTTCTCGGCATCAAGCTCAGCCTCGATCTCTTTGAAGGTTTGATCAAGGCTCTTCTCGGCGATTGGCACCTCAGAGTTTGGAAGGCAAAGATTTGAAAGCAAAAATCTGGAAAGAAACACAGAAACAGAAACATGAATGTAATTCGTAATCAAGAATGATGATGAAGCTATCAAGAAATCAAGACAAAAAGATTGCACAAGTATGTCAAGCCAAAAACAAATGGTAGAATCACAGATGTGTGAACAGTGTGTATTCAAGAAGATGATTTGGAAATAAAGAGTAAAACAAGCCAATGGTGATTAACAATGAAGCAGAGCTTCTTGGAAAGCAACAAGATAAACCAGGAGGAACAGTGGCTTACCAGAAAGAGGGAAGCCGGAATGAGATTGCCGAAGCTGACGACCAATTGACAGAACTGACGTAAGCTTCATCGGGGAGAAGAAATCGAAAACAGTTGCAAAAGCTTGAAGCTTGACAAATGCGGATTTAAGCAAAGAGCTAGAAGAGAAAAGCCAGGATTAAATGAAAAAAGAGAGAAATAGTCAAGAAGACAACAAAGTTCAAAAATAAAGCCAAGTGCACAGGCACTAAGTAAGTATGTGAAGAACAGAAAGTAATGAACCAGACATGATTGCTAACAACAGAAAGCGGATATGACAAAGAACAGTTCCAGCATTTAGCAATAAGAAATCAAAAAACTTGAAGACAGACGAGAACAGAAGGCAACAGATGGCAAATAAACAAATTCAAAGTAAATCAGAAGAGTTATGAAAGATTGAGCTTTATAAAAGTAAAGAGTTTATGAACTTACAAAGTGAAATGAACGCGATATAAAGATCGCTAGAGTCAAATAGGTGACTGGAAATCAGGGAAACTCACCAGAGAGTGTGAGTAGAGCAGTTGCCAAAGCTCTTGGAGTTTACGAATTAATATGAACCAGAACCTCGGCTAGGAGGTACGATTTCAAGCAGCTTAGAAAGCATGAAACTTGATTCTTGACACCAGTGGCAGTAAAGTCCAGAGAACTTTGAGTCGGCGAGTTTGATCTTGGACAGAGGGGCACAGATGAACGAACAATGTAGTTCCATCACCTCAGAATGTCGAGGTAATAGAACCTAGGAGGCAGTTTGGGGATATATTTTCTGAGTACCAAACACGTGGCAAGGTGACGCGACATGTCAGCCGAGGTGCCACGTGTCTTGGTCGTTTATGCCAAGGTCATCTCGGCTAGGCCGAGGTTGCCTCCGAAGATATCAGAATCCGAGATAAACGGAATAAGGGACAAGAGTCCTAGAATGAAGAGGGAACTCAACTTGGATATGGACAAGAGTCCTAGATTGGGAGAAGACTTCAGTTTGGGTAAAGATAAGACTCTTAGAGAGTTTATCCTAATCTTACTGGGAGTCCAAAATTAGCAGTAATCTTGAGTCCATAGAAGTCAGGCTTCTAGTGGGACTAGGTTTATGTTGGCTATAAAAGAGAGGCACCCCCATGGGTCTAAGGTATGCTTTTGATACTCAAGCTTGTGAGTTTAGTACTTGATTTATCTTTGAGAGATATACTGACTTGATCATCGGAGTGCCCCCGGGTGGTCGAAACCACCGCGGGATTCTTATATTTCTGTTGCAGGTCAGTCAAGTGCCATCTATTCTGCCGGTGCTCTCCAGCTGATTACTAGGCAGGCAATATGGTCAGAAAATTACCCACACAGTATCAATTACATCCTTTTTTGCAAATCAAGTTGATTCCATTTACACTACAAAATTAACTTATTAC